GTTACACCCAACCAACAGCACGCGCATTGCTGCCCTTCAGCCAGCTGCATTCGTGAGCGAATTTGAGACGTGTGCAAGTGAATGCCGTTGGCCGAAAAAACCAAACCTCGTCACTAATACCAAATCTTCCGCTCGTTGGAGAAGCTGCTGTGGCCAAGCGTGCATCAAGATGTGTGTGTGTTTGAGTGTGGCAGTTTGCAGTCGGCGGTGTGTCGCCTAACACAATTTGTACGTCCGGTCATTTCTGCGCCAAATGCTTTGAGGTTATTTGTAATTTTAACTTGATAAAATTTGAAAGTTCTTACTATCAGATATCAGTTATGCGACTGAAATCTTTTCGGATATTGTGTGACGTTAAGCGCCAACGACGCTTTTTTGTTATATGTTTTAGTTGTCGAAAACCAAGCTATATTTTATGCGACACACATCGCTGGCCAAGTAACGAACTATAAAAGCTGGTGGCAAGTTTGAGAAGCCATCAAAAGTTTTATTGCATTCTCGGACAACAGTTGGGTGTGCGTCTCTTGACAAAGTGCCATTCAATAAGTGAACGTACAACAAAGTGTGCCTCCAAGGATTGAATCTAGAGTAGCTTGTATTTTTGTGCAAGTGAAAAGAAAAAAGTATAAAAGCTATAAAAAAAAGTATTGAATCTAATTTCAAGCAATTTGAAAAGTGATTTTCTAAGTGGAAAAACATAGAAACATTTCAGGATCAATAATGAAACGGGTATGTGGAAGTCAACTGACTTTCGGTGAAAATTTATTAAGTTTTGATTCTGATATATCGGACTTATGCAATATGTTTAGTGAGAATCAATTGAATTTTCTTTCAAAACTGAGCGTAGTATACATACGTTTTTGTGTAAATTGCGAAACACGATACACCTTTACTTAAAGCACCATAAACTCCAAGTAGCCCTTCTATCTGCTTTCAATATATGAAAGAAACGACCTTCTAAACTTTCTAACACTTGACGCCTTACTTTAATTTAATTGTTTACCAATGCAGCGCTCAAGTCGTTATCAATATTAATCCCATAGCAGGCCACATTGTCACGAAACGTTGAATGGTGTGAAAGTTACTCCACGCAATAAAAGAACATTCTACTCACAAACTTGCACTGGTCTCTTCTATAACAGTACATGCAAAGTCTGTCATGGCAAGTTGTCATTCTTTATTGCAACCGGCAAAGCTTGTGCGCCTATAAATCATTGGTGGCACATCACTTTGCACATAATACAATACCAACAATGTGGACACTTGTCACAGGATATTCCCTTATACAATTCTACGAGCACTGCCATAAATATAAAACTACAATGAAGCGTATTCATAAATTTTTCACAATGCAAATATTCAAATATTGCTTTATTGAACTCAATTTCCTACAATACACACATATAACATATTCGTATGCCCCTTTTCATGTTGCATGTTCACATTGACGATTGTTCGTCCTTAAACGTTTTGCTCTCTGTTTGTCCTGACTGAGTGAATTGTTGTTTGTTATTGCAAATTATTCAATTGACAACTTTATGACAACACTTTCATAATGAATTTTTCAGCAACATGTTGCCAGGATAATTGAATGACGATTGGAAAATTGTGGCATGTTTTATGAAAATATGTTTAACCATCATTTTGATTTATTCGAATTATTTGTATTTGATGTGCCGTTATTTTCACGCAGCGCCGCATACATATGCAGATGCCGAAATTGGCTTCAGGCAGAAAAGCTATAAAATATTGAATAAAATGTATATCACAATTGCGTTCATTAAAAACATAACTTTAGGATTTTTAGCCCTTCTTAAATGTTTATTTTGCTCAAAACATTTTCTTTAAAAAGCATTACACCCTAACTAAGGTTTTCAGTTTGTATATTATTCGAATATAAATAGGAAATTCTCAAAAGTCCTCTTCGAAACGAAAACTGTTTTTAATTACCGTTAGTCTACTGCAATGCAGTAAATCTTTCTCACCAGTGGCGCATTTTTTATGCTCTTGCAACATATTTTATTCCAACTGCAAATAGAGCGACATCTACATCGCCACTGACAGTAGGTGATTTGCGAACTCTGTAGGAATTTCAACACCACCTAAATTTATACTCTTCAAGAGACTTTAGCTGCAGCAAATTTTCACTAAAGGGATACCCCTGCTTTCTCTATCAGTGTACTTGCATGTAAATACATGTACATATATTAGCTTATAAGCCAATGCAATTTTGCATTCGAATGTACGCTTCTGACAGTTTGACCATAAAATATTTACGATTTCATTAAGCTTACTCTTTTACTCACTCGTTCATTTGCACTCTGCATTCGCGTCATCAAAATGACAGTTGCTAATTTCCCTGAAGTGTTGTGAGCCACTGAAATTCCGCTCGTCATAAAAGGGGGCTAATGCGCTGTAAAAGCGAGCTGTAGCGCTTACAAATTTACTTAGAAACAAGACAAACAAATATACTGCTACACACAAAGTATGCACATTTAAATGTAAAAGTGTTCGTTAGGCACAACACTAAATAATTAATTTTGTTCGCTCGTTATTTATCTACTCCTATAGTTCTACTATCTTCTCTGTGTATGTTTGTTGGCGTGCAATGCGGTGCACGCCTCCTATTCACACTTGCAAGCGATTGATTTCTCGCAGCTGCAACAGCAACAGAAATCATCAATTACCCAGCAGCAGCAGCAACAACAGGAAGATCAAACTGACACCACCACCGACTCATCCGAAGACTATGACAGCCACCCGCAGTACAGTTTCGCATACGATGTGCGCGACACGTTGACCGGCGACGAAAAACAGCAGGAGGAAAAACGTGATGGTGATCTAGTGCAAGGACAGGTAAGTTCGTGGTAGTTTAGGGTATGAATACCTTAAAGAGGAGTATGTAAGGAAGTATTGTAAAATACACCAAATCCCATTAAAAATTTACTTTCAGTACTCGCTCGTTGAACCAGACGGTACACGCCGCGTTGTAGAGTACACCGCTGATGATATCAACGGTTTCAACGCCATAGTGTCGAAGCAATTGGTGGACGAGCGCTCACGCGCTTCCGCTTCGGCCACAGCTTCATCATCACGGTACAACAGTTTCGAAACACTGCAATCACAAATTCAAACACAGGCCATCGCCGAAGCTCAAGCTCAGGCTGCATCTTATGCTGAGGCTCAAGCGCTCGCCGAAGCACAACTCCAAGCGCAGGCTAAGGCACATGCTGAGGCCATGGCTCAGGTGCAAAGCGACGCCGAGTTGCAGGCGCGCATACAGGCGGAAGCCCAGGCACGCGCTCAAGCTCAGCAACTGATGGAGCAGTTTCAGCAACAGTACAAACAACAACAGCAACAACAGCAGGAACAACAAGAGCAGTTAGCACAACTGCAACAGCAACAGCAGCAACGTCAACAGCAACAACAATTGCGTTCACAATCCCAACAAGCACAAGAGCGACTGACCAACGAGCAAGCCATACTACTGTCGCAATCACTGCCCTCACGTACTCTCGGACACAGCGTTCATGCCACTGTTGTTTCACACCCACCCACCATCTTGTCACGCCCACCCAGCGGCAGCGTATTTGCTCAGCAACGCGACATAACCACTCTGAAGGAGTTGCGCGACGGTAGCGCACGACAGATCATCGAACGCACCAACCTCCCGCAAATAGTAATTACTCAACCGGCTAGCGCAACGGTGCAAGCTCAAGTTATACACTCACCGTTGCTATTGGATGGCAGTTCTGGTGCAACAGGTATGCGTAGCGTCATCTCTACAAAAATCACCAATGCCGGCGGCAATGGTGGACGCAGCAGTACCATTTCACTCCGTGGAGATTCCGGGCGCTTGAGTGCCGCCGACCAATTGCTGACCCAGCTCGATTCTGACGATGATGACACACTGACCCGCAACAGTTTGCGACTGCTTAGTGGTGGCACTGGAAGCAGCGGCAGCGGTGGCAGCATCAAAGGACGCACCAACGGCGGCATAAATGGCAGTAGCGGTCTGAGCGGTTTTGACAGCAGCAGCAGCGGCTCCGATGATCGTGAAGGAAATGTATTGCGAAACGGATTAAGAAATTCAAATAGACGCTTGCAGAGCCTCTTCTCCAGCAGCGGTAGTGGTTCAAACGGGAACGGAAGTGGCAAATCTACATGGTAAATGAAACAGGAAATCGAACATATACACAACAAAACAGAAATATTTTTAAATTCAAACGATTCTAAGGCGAGAGAGTAGGACGAAAATGCAAACGAATGAGTAGAATAGACAATAATGAATGTAGAGAGAAATAGAGCGAGTTAAAGTGTAGCCGTAAATGTATTCAAAGAAAACTAGTGTGATCAACAGTCAGCAACGATTTGGCAACGGACCATAGCTATTGTATAACGGACTATGATTTGCAGCAGCCGCCAGCAGTAACGGCATTAACATAGACTTAAATTTAGTTTGTAGAATTGTTTGCATTTTTCTCAGTAGCGTTTAATTACTAACAGATTTGCGGTAGAGAGCTATTTAGTTGACTTATATATATATACTTGTATTTTCGGGATTTGGGTGAATTTCATCTATCGCTTTTTTGCCTATGCTTAATAATGTTACATACTCACAAGCGCGCGCGCACTAACTCTCTCACTAACAACGCTTTTACTACGCTTTCTGCGAGAACATACGAAACGTGAACGAACAGATAACCGACATAACATCTATTATACGCATGTATATAAAAATGCTTTCATAATTTCTATGTAAAATATTTACTTCCATGCGAAGACTTTGTGATTTAGACTTACTTTATGTTTTCTGAAAATATTGTTATCTATATCTTACTTATCTGAAGGACCTATGTATCTAATTAGTATTTTGATGTTTACATAAACTATTTTTTTTCTAAGTTCATTTATAAATATTTATATACACTACAGTGTTGTTCATGATTACGTTATGTGACTAACCATGCTTTTTATAATTTATTCTTACTAATATTCAATTCAATGTTTTTATATTTTTGTATTCAACATGTTCTCACATTTTAAGAATCTAGACATTTAAGTGCAACTTGCAGTTTCTACATGGCATACAAAAAAACACAAAAAAATAAATATTAATAAAATAATTTATGTTTGCAGCGAAAATTCCCGTTATTTCATTTCCAAAGTAACTAATTCAAACTTTTAGTGGCTCTCAAGCATATAATATGCTTATAATGTTCATTTCGTGGTTTGAAGAGAGAACGTATATCTATGTTCACTGCAGTTGGTTACACAACTGTTAGTGCACATGCGAGTTAGAGACCTTTATAAAAAATCACACAAATGTACAAAAATTTAACATCATATATATACGAGTTTTTAACAATAACAAATATATTTATTTAAATGTCTCTTTCTCTTCCTTGAAAGTGAAAATTCGTTTCCAGTTATCTTTTTCTCTGAGCACAACTTCACTCCTTCGCCTTATCTTCATTGCTCTTTTCACATTCTGTTTCGATTTCTTTTTTCGCACATTTCTCGATTTCGGTCGCACTATTGTTTTCTCCACACTCTTCGTCGCTTTCAGATCCACTCTCTGCTTCGTATAGCACGCCGCCTTCCGAATGCTTAGCCAGATTCAAAGCGACGTTCTGCAGTTCATAGAATGAGAAACGATGGTATGCAAAATATTCTGGGTTCTTGTATTCTTTGCATTTGTGCGCGCCTGGACCGAGCACCTCCTTCGGGTCATCCAAGCTGCGATAAGCGGTGATGGGTACGAAGTCAAGTGGAGTAAATGCGTCATTTTTAAAGGAATGCTTGGAGTCTGCTGTATTTGCGGTGTCTTCTGACGCTTGTGAGGGGCAACACTTATCGGCTATATAACGTTTGAATTGCGTTGGATTCAGCGGCAGGTTTCTTATTACACTCTGTGATAAATTCGTGAATTTCGAGCAGCCACGCAACATAATTGCGCATATGTTTTACAAATGTTTTAAATACTATACATATATTTTTAAATTTCTCAAACAATATTTGAAGCTTCTCAAACAATATTTGTAGCTTGTGAATATTGTTGAAATAATAAAGTAAAGCTATGTGATCACGGCAATGTCAGTGATGAGTAGATCAACAGTTTGTAAGTTTCGTAAAACTTTAACGGTTTATTGATTTGCTTGTTGCCAACTGCTGTAAAAGAAAATATATAAATGCAGTATGACCAAAGTTTTATAGATTAAGCTGCATATAGTAAGTTTTAAAATTATTTGTGTTAAATAACTTATTCCATCATTTTGCCCGCGAATGTTAATAATTAATAATAAAATAATATTTATTAAAATTCTCTGGTTTTGCCATCAGTTGAGCGGATGTAGCTTTGCTGTCGATAAGGCAGTTCATGAACTGTAAAGTATCTCAAACACAAACCAACTGCATCTTAATATGACCGGTTTGTGCCTTTGCTAACAGAGTTGCCAGATATATATACGAGATATCACTATACTCCGTTATTATCTGATTACTTATTGGAGGGTAGGGTTAATGTTGCACACACATGCCACCGAGATCACATAGCTAACCAAATGTAGAAATAAAACATAAAATCTATAATGGAAATTTCACAAATACACTTTAAATACATATATATACATACAATTAAAAAAAAATATATTTCTATTGATATTATAACTTAATATTCATAGCTTTATTAATTACACTATTTGTTGATAAATATTTGCTTATATTTATGTTTAAATATAAGTATATTTCTTGGTGGACGGCATATAAAACGGATTCTGATATTTTTGTATATTTCAGAGCCATACGCACGCCAAACCAATTGCAGCAATCTGCTCTTGAGTTTCGAGCTGGAGTTACTACGCGTGCAAGCTAAGCCATGGTTCATAATCGAACGGTTATGGAGAGAAAAACACTAAACACACTTCAAAGATGCGTTGCTGTAAACACTCAACAATAATGATGTTAATGATGGCACTAAAGCGCTGCAACATGTACAGTTACTGCAATATTTATACCCAAATATGTGCCGCTACTACCGTCGCTGCAAGTTACAATGCGTTTCCGTTGGCCATTTTCAACACCTCATTAACTAAGAGATAGCTCATAAAGCGCCATAAATCTAGAAAAACTTTGCATGCGGCTCGCGCACCCGGCTTGGTAAACAGCAGCGACTGCCAAAAGAGTTTCATATATGCTAACGAAAAGCCGAATATACACAGATGAATACCTATACACATACATACGAGTATAACCAATTGCACGAAATCGTTGGCCAGCACTAAATATGAGTATGGACAAAGATGTTAACGCTCGTGCCAACAGCAAATAGCACCGTACTAGGGACAACGTTTCGATCTAATGCGCATGCGCAGCGTCTTTGGCCGCTTCAAAACGCTTTGGTATTTCCACTTGCATCATTATGGTTCATTGACCAAAACCAAGCAAAGAATTCGCTAATTTAAATAAAAAGCTACGCGATTGTGGTGGTTCCGTTGAAGCTGCGCCGAAGGCATTCGGTGCAAATAACAGTAGCGACGACTGCGACAACGGCTGCTTGTCTGCTTTTTGTCTTAGCACATCTAACTTTTTGCTTTTTCGGCATACCTTAGCTTTCGTAAGCTGTTGGGTTAGTGTTTACTTCAAATTTTCAGAAATCTCACGGTAATGAATGAATTGGTACTATAGGCGTTGCAAAAACATAGTATGCAAACAAATTTCGACTAAAATAGATTATTTTACGTTTTATATTACGCTGCATCACCGCTCTACGAAATTATCTTTAGCAAGAACCTGGAATACAGCGCCATATTTGAGAGCAAACACTGGCGAGACCATCTCAATGGGATCCAGAGGAGGCAACTGCTTAGAGCAGCATATTTAGCAATATATTGACTTAAAACAGGTCAGTGGCTTATGACTCAACGAATGTTGAACAGCTGAAATATTCCCGTCGGAAAACCATGTCAAAAGATTACAATGGCGGCTGAGCATTAACACTACTATTTATTCTTTTGAGACTTTTACGATTAAATATGTGCATAGGCGTAAAAACTCAGAAATGAAAACTTTATGTGAAAACTTTCACACCAACAAAGAAGTTACTCAAAATTACAACTCGTATAGGTATATTTTATTGCTGCTGATTACTTTTTATTCTTGTTGGTAAATTGCAGGCAGCTGCTTCTTTGCATTCCCGAATTGTTGCCATTTCGCTGCTGTTGCAGTTCCAACGATTTCGACAATTTCAAGATTTTATTGTTTTTTGGCCATATCATCGTGGGTACTTATGGAATCGCCAACGAATTTGATTTATTTTATTGTCTTAATTCCAACAAGTGGCAGATGACAACAAGACGAAAGGAAAAACTGAGAACGCCAGTAGTTTGAGACTTCTGCAGCTGCCAAAGCGCAACTAAGTCAGGACAGGTCTGTCACATGGCTGCATTATTGCTTACATACGTCAATTTGTTTTTGTTGTTGTTTGCTCGACCGTCTTCTCGACGTCTGTTTTTGCCATGGTCTTCTCCTGCTTTGACTTCATACCATTTTCTTGCATTTGTTTTTGCAGCTTCTTCCGCTGTTTAGTCTAAGCGCCCAAGACCGCCGCGTAAGCATGTGGCATGTGAGGCTCCGCAAGTGTTCACAGTCCGTCAGTTGGCTTTCGCGTCGCTCAGACTGTGTGAGTTTGCTGACTTCGCTGAGTTCGCTGCTTGATTTGCTTCACTTTTCTGGATGAAGGGGAGAATGCAAATTATGCAAATTGCACACTAAAAAGGTAGAAAATCGTGGCTGGGAACAGGCGAGTGAGTAGAGAGTAATTCAGTCAGGCATGCCGCGTCACAGCAAAAACAAACACAATGCGAACATAGCGAAATGACGAAGAGCATGCGGTGTGACCTAACGCAAATGTCGGTACGTAGATAATTTGCACCAAGTGTGAGCTGTCAGTCAGTGTCGTCTCAGCGTGCTTCTAACAAAATCCTCACACATTATCATTTTTATTTTGATTTTCATTTTTATGGCGCAGCCAAATACAATGTTAAGCAGTTGTAAATAATTTGCAGTTGACGCATTCTCTCAGCCAGAGCAGTACATCGGCCTTAAGGCATTGTTTGTGCTTTGGAAGGGTGAATTTGAGGGAATAATTTATTTCATGGGAAATCCTTTGATACAATAATTACTCATGGCCACCTGGTAGAGAAATAATTTTAAATAAATAATATAAGTTTGAATTTTGGATATGAGAACTTCCCCATCCGTGAGTCAAATGAGTTCTTAAAAACAGTAAGCAACGAAATTTTACTTATATTCTCAAATATTTCCACAAGGAGGCAACTACTTTGAAATTCATATTAATTGGGAGTTTCTTTATCTTTTGAGATTTGAGTTCATGAAAAAGTCGCTTGGATACCCATCAACTCAAAATCTGGTTGCGGAAGCAATTTCAAGGTCAATTCATGCGATTTGGACTTCTCAGGCTGTCTGCGAAATAAACCACAAACGACAGATTCCGCCAAGTCCTATTAAAAATCAAACATTTTGAAAATTCCCAAGCATACTTGCAATGCAATTTGGATATCCACAGGTCAGCCGACCCGATTATTTGCCTGCCTTCATTTTTTTATCCCACTTATTTGCCACTTTTTGTAAAAGCTCTGCCGGCTGTGCGCTAACAATCGGCTATGCTCCACAAATTGCCGCAATGACATCGCCAGCACGTTTTCACAAACCAAACGAGACGAAACTGCTCCAAATCTTTGGCAACCAAGTCGTCGCGTTCAGCATTCCAACACCGCCGTGTAATGCCAGCCATTGAGCCATTTTGACTCACGCTTGTTTACTTCTTGGCGTGAGCTCTGTTGTTGTTTGTTTTTGTTGTTCTTTGCTGATTAAGGGTAATTTTCAAATTTTCTCGTTTTCAACGCTGTGGCACAAAGTTGAAATTCCTAATCAAATGTACGCGAAAATTTGCTGGGAGTTCGGCGGCCATTTGGCCAACATATTTGACAAAACTACACACATATACATATACGAGTATGCAACAACAGCGCAAGCAAAACATCAGCTTGCAACAGTTGTGGCAGTAACTGATTTGCACGTCAGCGGCCGCCAACCATGAAACTTATGCAAATTCGACCCGGAATTTAAGTGCAAATATCAGCAACATTAATTTAGTGCTGCTACATGAATTCCTTACACAAAATGCGTTTGTGTCTGTATTCACCACTTGCCGCTTTTTCGAGCATATTTGAGCATATTTGAGTTTTTATTCCTCATTCTATTTGCCCATATTTGAGCACTTGCCATCCATTTGCACACGCGCACATTTTTTACTGTTGCATTATCGACGCACATACACGCATACACGCATGCATATGCACTTAGACTTGTGCCCCGGTTGGACCATGTACAAGAAGCGGTAAAGAGGTGGCACCATCACATGCCACATAATATTGCACGGCCGTGGTGCACGCGGCACGGCCTTTTATGGCCAGCCTGCATAATGCAACTGTAGCAGCGGCATAACGGCTGCTGGCACCACCTTACAGTTGCTCTGCTGTAATTGGTAAATTGCCTGCAAAAGGAGAGACTCGCCAAAAAGTACGAAATATCGAAAATATGCGCGAGTGTCGCCAAGTATGTGTGTATACTTGTATATTTGTGGAACTGTCAATGAGCGCAGGCGCAAGTATATGTATGTATAAATAAAGGTACGTGTTCAGATTTGCGAATGTGGCATGCTGCGCTATTTTGTTGTGTATTTGTTTGTTGCATGCCAAAAGCCGAGTGATAGCAGCGCGTGCGCATGAATTATGGAAATTCGAGGCAGGTGTTCGAAAGCATATTTTCGAGCATTCATATTTAGTTGACCAAGCACATTTATTCGCGTACTTTGCTAAATATCTGAGTGAATGGAAGTTGAAAGGTTTCACATACGTGACAGAAATAGAATGGCTAGAAAACTATATGGTTAGAGTTAACTATACTTTCAGTTGCTCCAACAGGTAATCAATTTGAGAGATTTTTCAATATGAAACACTCAAACGAGGCGTTAACTTTCTTCTGAGTTTCTTCAATGAAGAATAGGAACTGAAGCAGTTCAGGTAAACTGTTAGTTATAGTAAGAAACATTTTCAATAATACTAATAACCATAGTAACAATTTGACATATAGCAACTCCGCAGATCCTTTTTCTTCAAAGTCCTTTTAAGTCTCTAATCATCTAGTGAATTTTTATAAGTAGTTATAATGTATAGTTTTAGCCGATATTTGAACTCTCGCCCGAAAAAGAAGGGCTAAGCACAAGTCTCCAAGTGGTT